GTAGACAAAGTCATACACAATGTTTAGGGTAAACTGCTTAAGCTTGGCAACCAAAATAATGGAAATCAGGTAGATGCATGTTTGCCAGAGTTAACAAGACTAAATCCTAGCAGAAAAACTTGAAGTTGCTTCGGAAGACTTCATATGACTTTAATCTCACTTCTGACTAGATGGCAATGCGTCATACATATACGAAATGATCTACCGTATTCTACAGAATAAATACTCCTCACTTGACTAGAAAAAAACCTGAGTATTAGTAATCTAATTTTTGTTTCGAGGCTATCAGGAGTCTGAGTGTTATCAAAGAATATCGGTTTAAACCGGTATCTTGTTGAACTGATGGCAAATACACTCATGATGTATTTACAAGAATACTTTATGTGCGTGCTAAATTAAACTTATTCATGCTTTTTAAAAGACCATTCTCCTCCATGCTGGACTCCAGTTTCTATCTCGTCTCATTGTTTTATCCCTAAACCTAGCGAAATTCGAACTATGGATGCTAAATTGAAAAGATGTCACAATGTGATAAAGCAAAACTTTTTTATTTTGAGAAGAATCTCGTATCGATGGGCAAATTTAGGCTTGCCATTAGCTTTAACAAGAATCCCATTTATATTTAAATAAAAAGGAATAAATTACTATATCTTTATATGTATGCATTATAAAAAACAGTCGAAACTAGCACTCCTCAATTCCATTAAGCCTTCTGATAACTTAGAGATAAAATAACTATTGATAGATATATAAAACAGTCGCTTATCTAATTAACTAGCAAGCGCCGATTTGCCTTGTGGTGTAGCATACAGTAACCAGGGTATCAAGGCTTAGGAGAACATTTGGCATGCAACGCAGAGTCAAATTTACAGAAAAAGTTAGACATTCGCTTCAATTATTCGTGGATATATTAGCCATTATTTCAATGCGTAACCAGTGAAAAATGAAATACTCAGTTTTTGCTATGAAGACGTTCTCTTCAAAACTTCGATAAACCAGTAATTTCAGGGGAGTAAATAAGCATAAATCCAATAGCGACTAGCTTATGACCTATTTGCATATTATAGCCCTCTGAGGTCGTCATTTAATACATCAGATGTGCTTCTCCTTTCTTCAAGTCTATCTAATTAGTCCTTATCATGTGGACACTTGTTGATGAATTTTGTTTTTTTTTCTCCTACTTTTCTCGCCTTTATATACTTTCTTTGATTTATGCCAGGTCTATGGGCCTTCCAAAATACCCCCACTTGCCAAACTCAAGACTAATTTCTTTATTTAAGAATGCTAATATAAGTACTAATTTTTTAATTATCTGAACATTCTTTAATGTCTCATTTGATTGAGGCCAAAGCTAATCGCACTAAGTGGCCATCTGATTAATCCGGCCTTCTACTTCCTCCTTTATATGAAGGAATTCAAATTTAAGAGATGGGAATAAGTGGTCTGTATGTTAGATTTATTTTATATGTGAGTGATATATCAGACTTTTCCTTATGTCCATAAAACTTGCTTGCCTTTTAATTTTAATCCATATTTTGCACTTTCTATACAAATAGCTACCTAGAGATGCTCCACTCTGCTCACCAAATGCCCCAGTCTCTTGATTTCCCTGATTCTGGCCCTCCAGCTAAGAAGGGCCTGGGATCCAGCTCTGTCCTGCCGCCCACTTCTACTCCACCCGGAACTATCAACATGGCGTACATCTCTTCAGGAGGGTTTATCCACGAGACAAGCAAATCTGATAAGGAGACCGATTCACATGCAACCTTTCGAGTGTCCAAATTTGGCGGAGCGGTCAATTTACCAGCAGGAAATCGTGGTGATCCAACCGGGCCTACGCTTAACAAAGTGGACAGTTCCTCTAGGGAGGTAGGCGGCTTTTTTAGCCAGATATATATAGACAAAGAATAATTGGATTTGGATGAATATCTTGAGAAATTCATTTCCTATTAAAGTGCACGGGGAAAGAGTCTATTGGTTGGTCTCATCTGAAGACGACGACTGATTCCTATTTTTCTGCATCCTTTTGGCTTTAATACAATCTCTAGGCTATGGCTGTACATGAAAAATCCTTCCTCGTTTCGGGTAAAAATTGGTTGAAACTTCAACTGTCATGCCACTTGACTGGAATCGTCGCTGTTGCCACTCATTCTCGCAAAATATTCAAAGTAACGCAAAGTAAAGAAAACTATCTTACCAGTATTCTGTACTCTGACTTACAGGCATAAAGGTATTAACGATGGCGTAAGCGCACATACACAGGAACATAAACTCACGGATAATTAGCAAGTTAACTAACTGAATCATTCAATATCCGTCTAGATTTATATAACTTTCTTTTTAGTTAGGGATATATATAGGCAGGTTGCGATAAGTATTAGTGATTCGTCACTTAAAAATGTCGTACTAGTCAAAAGATTTTTCCATTTCAAGTCACGTAATTGACCCCATTCCATAAAGTAAGCTTTAATTTTTTTTAACTGTAATATTTTTTGTACAGAAGTAATTTGCATTCATTTTCGCTCCCTATTCGTATTTTTTAAAAGACCTAGATGAACGTATCTTGTCCGGAGTCTTCTGTTACAATATTTCTGCTCATTTCGAGCTCCAAACCGTGGAATTGTTAAATTCCCAGACCTTTCGCCGACATATTCAGTGAGCCTTGTCTGATTTAGCACTATAATAGATATCGTAAAAGCGACAAGAGAAGTGAATCCATTCCGCTGAACATTTGGGGTATATCTCCTTTTGTCCTGATAAGCTCGCTTTTCATTTATTCTTATATCACTGATAAATAGAAGGCGATCAACGCCCTATTAGATGACATGGAACGGAAGAAGAGTACCGTGGAAGCAGACCAGATAAGGAATGAATTCTTAGCATGTCTAATCATCCTGATGGTAAGGACCATATATTTTACATTCAAAGGGGATTTCTATAAGTAAATACTTGGACTATATATGGGTATCATACTCCCACCTCTTTTGCCAAATGTATGCAAGGTCAAATTGGAAAAAGAATTCGATAAGTTTATTCCTGCAACAAAAGAGTGCGCATTTGATACCTGGAGGACTACTTTGCACTTTGGTCGCATGGTAAAGGAAATTTAGATTAATTCCTCAACTTAATGAAATAATTAGATTCAAATTCGAGGTGAAGGAGAATAAGCGACTAACTTTCCTGAATGTTCAGGTCATTCACTTCAATTGGGCGCTCACAGGAAGATTATTCAGTTAAAAATCACATGCGGAAGTAATCCTCAATTTATAGTCTCATCATAACTGCAGACTGAATATGGGAATTATGAGCTTGATCATTATAAGCTTTAGAATAGCTGGGACGAGAAGTTAAATACTGTTACTCAAATTTTCATTAGTAACGAGTAACCCAAAGTAATCATAAAAGGAAATAGAGAGGTCATATAGGGCAGATATCAACTTTGGTTCTATGAAAGTAAAATCAGGAATGGGGAGGACGACCAAAAATGGGTATGCCTACCCTCCTGTGAACTGAGTCGAAAGTTACGGCCGCTACCAATTGAAATGGGAATATCTAGATGATCACGACGGATCAGATGACATTCTTCACTATCCTGCTGACACAACACGAGAAGTTTAATAAAACTGGATTGCTGGGGAGTTCGGCAACTGTGAGCATAATTCTATTGGTGAAGCAGGAAGAAAAGTCAATCTACAAATCAAGGAACACCAAAGACCCTGCAGAAACGTGAATGTGGAAAGATACAAAATAGCGGAACACATTGCACGGACGGGACATAAAATAGAATGTAAATCGACAGAAAGACTGGCTACATATAGTGAAAGAACGAGGAAACGCAAAGTTTGAGAGGCTGACGATATCCTGACTGAAATAAATCTATTGAACAGGAGACCTGGAGAATGAAGGGCATATTGCTTAAGCAGAATCGGAGAAGATCAGGAAGCAGCAAGATCACAAAGAAGAAGACGACTAGATCAAGACAGTACATTACACAAGAGGAATAGAAATCGTAAGGAGAAGGCCAATGAGAAACATTTGGAAACAAAGAGGCGACATTTACAGTGAGCCTATTCAAAGCAAGTGAACAATTACAGCATTTGAGGGTTGACACACAAGACTAGGGATCGAGATATGTGGTGGAAACCATAGAAGTTTAACTCACAGTACACGAATTTTTTCAGAGACCTCGTCCGTGAGGCAAATGCCTGAAAAGTAGATTTTCTCGATGCACATGCCAAGCAATGAGTCAATCTGCAGCTTTAAGTTTGTTTTTCATCCTGCTTGAGAATCTGCTCAGTAAGGCTGGAGGATATTTGCTATCAATGGCTTGCGGCAGAGTTTAGAACATACCGTCTCAAGGAGCACAAATCTGGTAGCAGTGATCAATGTAATCACTGAGCCAGGAAGAAATGAGCAAGAGCTGTCTTGTGGACTGTGTCAAACTTAAAGTCGTATCAAATCCAAACGTCTGCAAAACAACAGGAATCAGCTATCGCTGAGATCGTCCTACGAATCAGTTCATCTTGTACATTCATATAAAATCAATATCTACGCAAAAATCTTGCTCTGCCTGTCTCGTGTCACCATGTTAGAACAAGACCTGCGAGTCTGTGAGGAGGATATCATCG